ACAAAGGCTCCCCCTTACATTGATGGACAATTACAGAGGCTGCCCCTTACATTGATGGAAAATTACAGAGGCTACCCCTTACATTGATGGACAATAACAAAGGCTCCAGCTTACATTGATGGACAATTACAGAGGCTACCCCTTACATTGATGGAAAATTACAGAGGCTACCCCTTACATTGATGGACAATAACAAAGGCTCCAGCTTACATTGATGGACAATTACAGAGGCTACCCCTTACATTGGTGGTCAGCATAGGAGTCTCCCCTTACATTGATGATCAGTAAGAGAGGCCCCCTTAACCTTGGTGGCCAGAAATCAAGGCTCCCCCTTAGATTGGTGGACAGTAAGAGAGGCTACACATTGCACCGATGGTCCGTAGAAGAGGTGGTCAATTACAATGCCCTGTTACACTGGTGATCAATGTAGTGCAGCTTCCTGCTTAGTGATGTTGGGAACAAAACTATGCAGGTAATTTCCAGTTGGAAATGAATTCACCTCTGCTGACAGCCCAAGGAACCCCTCCACATCTCCGGAGTTACCCCAAGGAACCACAGAACCCTGGTTGTGAAAATCTGCTTTGATCTCGAGATCTGCTACAGTGTTAACCAAGAAAAATTGCAGGGACATTTTGCACATGAAGAGATGGAGATGTTTTTCTAGGAAAACAATACATTTAGGTAAATAGGAATTTTCTATTTTATGATCTCTGTAGCAAATGATAGCCAGAACCTGGTTTACTATAAGAAATCCCCCATGCTTCCCTTACAGAAAACATTTCTCATGTTCTGTCATTTAATTGATGTATCTTTGCAGATGTGACTTTATCTCCAAGAAGCACCACATATAACACAGAGGAAACTTTAAGTCATTCAGCTACCAGCATAACATCAAGGCACCAACCAAAAGGTAAGATTGTGAAGTGTGATGTTTGCAATTTTGTCTTTTAATTTCGTTATGATGAGTTCAGCAGTTCTTTGCTTTATTTCCGTAGCAAAACTGGGTGACACAAAAGAGCTTGAAAACTTCATTTCAGATCTGGATAAAGTTCTCACTGGTACGTGAAAGTCGGTTGTAGCACTACCCCTTAGGAGTCGCTGAAGTTTTTGGGTCCTCCTCTAGTCCTGCACAGCCAGGCAACACACATTTTCCATTCAGACTTGCATCCAGGAGACAGTAACCGGTCCTTGAGTTTGCTTTTTTGGATTTTTATTAGGGGATTGCAACTTGGGTGGGGTAAGGGGTGTATGGGATGCCCAAGGGTAATGGCAATGGAGGACAATCTTCCTGAGCTATTGTACAAGTCTCTTTAACAGCAAAGAACAGATTCTTCTTCTTGGAGAGCTAGTCAGCATCTCCTGCTGTACCATCCCGGACCCTAGATACTCCTTATCCAGCTATTCTGGGTGAATCCCAGGGCATTGGATCTAGTGTCTGTCACTTCAAGAGAAGAAGAAGTAGCTAAACCAGTTTTCCCACCAGAGTGCTCTTTCCCCTTACTGGCCCAGGGGATGCAGGTCTACTTACTCAGTTCTTCTCCTATGAGTGGATGGATCGGTGGTTGCTATCCAGGCCTTCTAGCTGGGTCTCTCCTTCCCTGCTGAATAGGTGGTCCTCGCTCTGGGTACTGATGAAGTCCCAAGCTTCCCTGCCTGGAGGCATGCCTCATCCCATCTGGGCTCCCTCTCCAGCCTCACTTATCCATCTTCCACCTGAATTCTCTCCTACTGAGCAGGCTCTGTCACTTAAGGGCAGTCCATGCCAAGCCTCCTGTTGGGGATTGGCCAGGATCCCTCAAGAATGCAGACTAGCCACTCCTTACCTCCGCCCACTGCTTCTAGAACTTTCTCCAAAGAGAGGGGAAGTCTCAGAGAGCTGGTCTCCAGAAGCCTCTCAGCCCAGACCACAATTTGACCCCGCTCTGACTGTTACACCTGGGCTGCTACTCAGCCCCTATCTAAAAAATTAATTCTAGCTCCTCCTAGCTAACTAGGAGGGTGCTACAGTTATAAACTGTAATTTATTTAACTGGTGCACCAAAGGACCTAACACCGCCAAGAACCCAACACCAGCCAAAATATTCTTTTGGTTTCTTCCCTTGACAACTGACTAACGTATCCCAAGGAAGTAGGTTTTAACAGTGCAAGTCTATGAGCTAAATATGTCCATCAGCTGGAATTCTTTTAATATTTCATCTTTTTTCAGTTTCCTGTGTGGTTTCAAATGAATCAGTACTGCCCTATGACATAATAATCACATTTTGCTTAGTAGACTAAACTTGAAAAGAACTTGCTTGTCATCTTGGAGATCATGGGATGGAACCAAATCTGTATGGACACTGCCCTAGATAGAATGAGTGAGTTCGGGTGTCTCCAGTGATGAGTACTGATAATGCTACAGCATACAAAGACAGTTTAGATAATTGTGCCCTTTGACCTTGAGATAAGTTTTCAGAAGGCCCTTTTCTGTTCCAGCATGACTGTGCCTCTGTGTATAAAGCCAGCTCCAAAAAGACTTGGTCTGACCAGTTTGGTGTGGAGGAACCTAAGTGTCTTGACCTCAACCCTACTGAACACCTTTAGGATGAATTGGAATGTCAATGGGGAGCCAGTCTTCTCATCCAACATCAATACCTGACCTCAACCCTACTGAACACCTATTAGCTGAATTGGAAAGCTGATTGTGAACCAGGTCCCATCCATCATCAGTAGCTATCAGCATCCCTGAAAGAGAGGCAGGTGGTGCTTTGGTACAAGAGGGAGGAACATGAGTGTATGAAGCTTTAGCTTGCAGAACTGCAGATGGGTGGTGCCAACTGGAAGGATGTGCAGGCAGGAGTATCAGGGAAGCTGTTAGTACAGCCAACAGGAAGTCTCGCCAATGGCTTGGCACTGGGTTCAGGACAGAAGATACCACTGATAACATCAGCATGTAGGCAGCAGGGACACTCACAAAAGTCTTCAGCTGTATCTGTGGGTAGACCAGGGTAGTGACCCAAAGCAGTAGCCGAATTGCCAAGCAGGCCAAGATCAGCAACAAACAGACAGTGCAGTGCCTATAGGCAGGATCAGAGTCAGAGATGAAGGGAATAGCAAGAGTCCAAGCCAGAGGTACAGAGAAGGGCTCAGAGGTAGGTTAGAAGTAAGCTGGGTTGGTAATGGAAAAAGCATGCAAAAGAGCTCAGGTCAGGTCACCAAGAACGTGCTGAAGACCCAACCAGCACAGACAATGAACTAGGCTTTAAATAGGCACCACTGTTGGGCACTTGGTGTGCATAAACTATGTACACACTGCATGATCACTCCTAATCCTGCAATGCAGGCACATGCCCAGCCAGGACTCTACAAGCAGAGCCATGAGCCAGAACACATGCAGGTGCCCTAGCCAGTTGGCTAACAAGTATTCCATGCTAGTACTTGACCTCACAAATACTCTTTTTGGCTGAATGGGCACAAATCCCCACAATAACACTCCAATATTTCATGGAAAGCCTTCCCAGAAGAGTGGAGCCGTTGTAGCTTCAAAGGGGAAAACTCAATATTAATGTCCATAGTTTTGGACTGGGATGTCCAACAAACTCATAGGTGTCCACAAATTTTGGCCTTAGAGTATATTTTATGTTCACAGATTCCTGTTAAGGTGCTCTGATAAATAGATCAAAGTTTCAATTTACATACCCTTCCACACCTATTTATGAAGAAGAGCAAAGTACCTGCTCATTGTTTGGTTGCTTTATGCCCTATTCACCTTGTCCTGCTGCTAAAGTCTTCTTCATTTTATGTCAGTTTGTCATGGTGCCTTGTGAAGTTGAAGTTTTTGTTATAGTAATTTTTTTTAGAGTTCTTCCTGGGTCCTATGTTCCCTCTGTCGCCCCTGAACCTTTTTCATGGGCCCTATGTTCCCTCTGTCTCCCCCGAATCTTTCTCATGGCCCCTATGTTCCCTCTGTCCCCCTGAATCTTTCTCATGGGCCCCATGTTCCCTCTGTCTTCCCCAAACCTTTCTCATGGGCCCCATGTTTCCTCTCTCTTCCCCGAACCTTTCTCATGGGCCCTATGTTCCCTCTGTCTTCCCCGAACCTTTCTCATGGGCCCTATGTTCCCCCTGTCTTCCCTGAACCTTTCTCATGGGCCCATATTCCCTCTGTCTCCCCCGAACCTTTCTCATAGGCCCTATGTACCCTCTGTCTTCCCCAAACCTTTTCTCATGGGCCCATGTTCCCTCTGTCTTCCCCGAACCTTTCTCATGGGCCCTATGATTCCTCTGTCTTCCCCGAACCTTTCTCATAGACCATGCGGCACCACTGTAGACCTGGATAGGAGGGATGGTGGGGGGCTGCATGTAGAGGAACTGGTCCCCTCCACCTTCCTCCTGCAGGTGCTGAATGCCTGATTCTCTTCCTCTCCCTCCTGATGACATTCAGCAGCTGCAGGAGGAAGATGGAGGGGATTGGTTTCCTCTACATGTCGTCGCCCCCGCCACCCTTCCTATCCAGTTTCCTTCTGCTTCCCCTGGGCTCCTGTGCTCTCTCCGAGCCCCTGTGCCCTCTCCTGCCCCCGTGCTCTCACCATGCCCCTGTGCTCTCTCTTGGCCTCCCCTTGCCCCCTCTTACAGTGCTGCCAAGTTCCCCTCCCCTCTCCCGACAGCTGCTGCAGGGGATGCTGTCAGGATGAAGAGCCAAGAAGAGACCAGTAAATATGTCATTTACCGGCCCCTTCAATGTCTGAATGAGTCAGTGATCTATACCCAACCATACCAAAGTCTAAAGAATAACTAAAGCATAGTAAACTGTGTTTACTATGCTTTACTTTGTGAACGAATGGGAAGCTCTGTACAGAGCTATTCCTGTCCATTCATTCTGTGCTGCAGAGAAGAAAATTGGGCTGTGTCCTCCGTTTCCTTTCTCTGACTTAAAGGTGAAACATCAGAGGTCTGTTTAGACCCCTGATGTCTCACTAAAGCCCCCAAATGGGGGTTAATAGTAAAAAGTATTGCAAACAAAATAAAAAATAAAATAAAATGGTAAAAATTAATAATGAAAAAAAAAAAATACCGACACCAGTGGCAGAACTACCAGGGTCACAGAGGTCACACTTGCGACTGGGCCATGGCATTCCGCCATTGGACATGGAGGGAAGGGCCCGTCTGGGGGTCCTTCATGGTTTCTTGGACCAGGACCCTAAAGGTTCTAGTTACACCTCTGTGTAAACCCTAAAACTAGTTGTGATCCAATTAAAATCAACATATGCAAATAATCTTATAACATACAAGTGAAAGAAAATATTACAAAAGATAATGCCTAATAAAGGTACAAATCTAATAAAGGGTCCAAATATAGCATTAATCAGGGGTCCCCAAACTTTCTAAACCAGTTTACTATGCTGCAGATTTTAGAGGGGTCAGATTGTTACCAGTGGGAGTAGAAAATGTCCTGGCGTCAGTAACAATGCCCCATCATTTAGGTCTGTGAGAGGAATAGCACCCCATTATCGGTGTCAGTGGCTGGAAGAGTGTCCCATTGTTGGTGTCAGTGGCAAGAATTACAACACTACCCTTGTGATTAGAGCAACTCACTAGACCCCTAAATCAATCAAGAAAAGCCCTACAGAAATACAAATTAGAATATGAAATACCCTTGAAAGTGCGAAATGTACTAATTATCCGAGGGAGTTGGGTGTGGGGTTAGGAGGCAACCTTGATGTGACGGTTAAGTAGAATTAGCAGGATCGGTTGACCTTGAGCTTTCAGTTAGCAGATCTTTTTGGAATTTTGGGAAGGAGTAAATTCAATCCAGTTATTCCAATCGTTCTTTCGTTTGTGTTTTAGGGATGCATTTAGATCCGACATAGCCTTAAGTTTGTTAATGTTGGCGCTCTAGAAGTTCATGGAAGGTGGTTTTCCATCAGACGGGCATGATTTTTCATAAAAGAAATGGTCTGGAACACAACTCCAGCATTTTTGTGCCCAAGAAAAGATAAAAAAAAATCATGGACAAACCTTTTTTCCTGCAGTCTTCTGGCATTTCCATTGATGTCATGTGTCCTTCATCTCCTGCCCTGGCAGTGGTAATGGGCAACCCTTACTTCTGGACAGCGGGATGTGAGACCTCCATGCTCTTCATGAGCCTACACCGGTATGATGATGGACCCCCATGATGGTCTGAGCACTCAGGAAGTGGGTTATATGAGTCTACAGGGGACATCAATAGAAAAAGGAAATTGGGCTTTAAAATTGGCCAGAATTGGACTATCCTGTACTGTTTTTGGGCTATCAGTCTTTGTCTCCTTTTACAACACACACATTAGAATTAAAGTGGTATTAAAAAAAAACGGGCCACCTGCAGGTTGATTCCATATTGTGCTAGCATGCCCCACTTAGTAGCACATTATAACAGACTTACAGTGGGGCAAAAAAAGTATTTAGTCAGCCACCAATTGTGCACGTTCTCCCACTTACAAAGATGAGAGAGGCCTGTAATTGGCATCATAGGTAGACCTCAACTATGAGAGACAAAATGAGAAAAAAAATCCAGACAATCACATTGGCTGATCTGGAAAGAATTTATTTGCAAATTATGGTGGAAAATAAGTATTTGGTCACCTACAAAAAAGCAAGATATCTGGCTCTCACAGACCTGTACCTTCTTCTTTAAGAGGCCCCTCTGTCCTGCACTCATTACCTGTATCAATGGCACCTGTTTTTTGAACTTGTTATCAGTATAAAAGACACCTGTCCACAACCTCAAACAGTCACACTCCAAACTCCACTATGGTGAAGACCAAAGAGCTGTCGAAGGACACAGAAACAAAATTGTAGACCTGCACCAGACTGGGAAGACTTAATCTGCAATAGGCAAGCATCTTGGTGTGAACAAATCAACTGTGGGAGCAATAATTAGAAAATGGAAGACATACAAGACCACTGATAATCTCCCTCCATCTGGGGCTCCACACAAGATCTCACCCCCGTGGGTTCAAAATGATCACAAGAACGGTGAGCAAAAATCCCAGGACCACACGGGGGCGACCGAGTGAATGACCTGCAGAGAGCTGGGACCAACGTAACAAAGGCTCCCATCAGTAAACACTCTTCGCCGCCAGGGACTCAGATCCTGCAGTGCCAGACGTGTCCCCCTGCTTAAGCCAGTACATGTCCGGGCCCGTCTGAAGTTTGCTAGAGAGCATTTGGATGATCCAGAAGAGGATTGGGAGATTGTCATACGGTCAGATGAAACCAAAATAGAACTGTTTTGGTAGAAAACACAACTCGTCGTGTTTAGAGGAGAGAGAATGCTGAGTTGCATCCAAAGAACACCATACCTACTGTGAAGCATGAGGGTGGCAACATCATGCTTTGGGGCTGTTTCTCCGCAAAGGGACCAGGACGACTGATCCATGTACAGGACAGAATGAATGGGGCCATGTATCGTGAGATTTTGAGTGCAAACCTCCTTCCATCAGCAAGGGCATTGAAGATGAAACGTGGCTGGGTCTTCCAACATGACAATGATCCCAAACATACCACCCAGGCAACGGAGTGGCTTCGTAAGAAGCATTTCAAGAACCTGGAGTGGCCTAGCCAGTCTCCAGATCTCAACCCCATAGAAAACCTTTGGAGGGGAGTTGAAAGTCCGTGTTGCCCAAAAACATCACTGCTCTAGAGGAGATCTGCATGGAGGATGGGCCAACATACCAGCAAACAGTGTGTGCCAACCTTGTGAAGACTTCCAGGAAAACGTCTGACCTCTGTCATTGCCAACAAAGGATATATAACAAAGTATTGACATGAACTTTTGATATTGACCAAATATTCATTTTCCACCATAATTTGCAAATAAATTCTTTCCAAATCAGCCAATGTGATTGTCTGGATTTTTTTTTCTCATTTTGTCTCTCATAGTTGAGGTCTACCTATGATGCCAATTACAGGCCTCTCTCATCTTTTTAAGTGGGAGAACTTGCACAATTGGTGGCTGACTAAATACTTTTTTTGCCCCACTGTACATGTCAAAGGATGCCCTCCACCGATACGCTGTCAGTGCCCAGGCATTTCCATCTTCTCCCGGTCTTCCTTCTGGGTTTGCGCCATTCAGCCACTTGAATAGCTGGGCCGTGATGGCATCACTCCCAAGCATGCTCATGGCAGCCACTTCATCATGGTACAGAGCAGGTGCCTTAAATGTACTCTGAGCTGCACATGTGTGGCTCATTGTACATTACCACTGACAGGGCAGGAGGAAGCATTTATAACAGAAGAGACCATTAGTCTCCATTCACACTTCAAATTTCCTGAACGTGCAACAAAACACACAGGACAGTGCTTTTTGTCGCTCGTTTTTGAAATGTGTGTCACGCTTGTGTTGCCATTTACGGTACTTAAAGCGTGGTTAGCAGATCCGTGATTTGCTGTGCATTTTGTCACGCATTAAAGTGTGCTAAAAATGGACCAGAATGTGCATTCAAAAATGTGCAACGCTCCGCGCCCACAAAGGTTCTGGCACTTCTTTGCTATGTTTTACACACATAGGGCAGCCCATTCAAGTGAAGAACGCGTGGAAATGCGCAAAAACAATGCAAAAACCAAAAGTGTTAATGCAACTATAGGGGGTGTCTTCTGTCATAAAAAACCCTACCCGTCAGCATATATATATGTTTATGTATGTATGTATATATATTTATATATATATATAGATATATGTATGTATATATGTACTGTATGTGTATATATGTATGTACTGTATGTGTGTGTGTATATATTTAATATATATATAGGTATGTATGTGTGTTATGTATATATAAATATATATATAATATTATAATATATATAATATTATATCATTATTTTTTTTATTTTTTTTTCAGTTATTTTTGAGATTTATATGTTACTCTAAAAGTGGTGGATTGGAATGACCTATTTAAAGTGATTGTTGGCATTAGGAGAAGGGGTTTTTAAAATAGAGAAATGTTGGGTTTTCCAGATAAAATGAGGGATTTCAGTTACAATTTTCTCTTCTGTTTTTTATCTCCTGCAGATTTCTAAAAGAAGAAGTTGTCCTTGATCATAAAATGTCTGGTGAAATGTCCTACTTCCTGCTCAGCAGCTGACATTATTCCTATTATTTTATTTAAGTAACAGTTAAAATGGGTATATTCGTCATTAAAATTAGGCAATCTTGGTTTTTTTTTTTTTTTTTTTATGGGTTTAAAGTTGTACTCCAGACAAACAGGAAAATACACATGATATTCAAACGGAGAGGGGTGCTACTGTGGACAGCATTAGCAAGGCAAAAAAAGTAGTCGTCTAAAAGAAATCAACAGAACAAGGTATATAAATGCTGAGCTTACATGTTGTATTGCAGTGTGATTATATATATATAGTATATATATATATATATATATATTATATATATGTGTGTATATGTATATATATATATTATATATATATAATGTATGTATATATGTATGTATATAACATTTTTTTTTTTTTTTTTTACAAATCTCTGCCACAGTTTCACTTTCACTTACAGCTCCCATACCCACCCTCATCCTGTGACTGGACTGTGAAAGGAGAAGCAGCAGACTGACAAGCTCATCTCTCTGTCACTCTACTTTTCTCCCACTATCCACATGCTTCTAGCACTGCAGCGCACCTAATTGGCTCCTTATCTTGCTGCTTACTCCCTCTTTGAGTTCTGCAGTACAGGAACTGGAAAAAAGGGTGATACTTGGATTTCTAAAAAAAAAAATATATATATATATTGAATAATGCATTAATTCAGAGTTGCATTTTTTTAAAGTCTCTTTTATCTCCCTGAAATTCAGTTTGGATAATGTGAAAAAAACTTTAATGTATATATTGTATCATAAAATGGATTTTTTTTTTTCCTATATGTAACTATTTTACAAAATAAACATTACAATTGAAAATTCCTGTTTCATTTTCATGTAAGGTTTCCTGGGTTACAGCTCAACTGCTACTTCCACAGAACATTGAAATTGTTATTGCCCAAGAGGATTTTTTTTTATTTAAAAAAGTAACTGTGGCAGCAAAATTCACATTTTCCTTGCCCT